CAATTGCTTTTGGTCACATAATTCTGGTTTTCCCAGATGTATAGCTATTGCTTCGGGAATGTTAAAAAGATTTATGTAGAGGAAACCCTTATGGAGTGGCCAAATATCAAGTTTCCACAACTGGGTCCCCATTAGTCCAAAGCGAATACAAATAATTTGCAGTCCCGAGGTCATAGATAACGAAATGAGCTTCCTCAAGAAAATACTTATCGAAGACAAGTATCCATCGATATTTATTAACAAGCATATCAAACCCAAACCGCCTAAGGCACAAATAATCTCGGTTGAAAAGAAAATATTTTACATAAACATCGATTTTAAAGGTGATAGAGTTACAGACGTCCGATTGACTGAAAAGGACGTTCTTCGCAGCAACTTTGTCAAGAGGTTTCCAGCCGGGTAATGTTCATCAATAACCTTAAGGACAAATGATCTCATCTGACCTATAACTAATGAAATGATAAAAGTAGAAACATCACTTGAGACATTGGATTATGTTCGGATACGTGTACTTGAAAATACCGTTGGTTGAAATCCAACTGACTAACTACACTGATAAATTAAGAATAAGAGTAGGATTTACAGGGGAAATGATGTTCTTAATATTATGTGAGTGTGACTAAAATGTGAAATATAGCTCTTGGATTATGTGGACGCACTTATATTCTGTAACAAGAATTTTAGAGTGCGGATACCATTTGTGACAGTTTCAGATTTGAAACAGAGCCGACATCCATGCTGTAAAGTATTTATTTAAATACTAGGATTACGATTTTATTTCTTATTCTTTTCTGTGTGTGAGAAAAACGTTGGTAAACAAAGCTATGAAAGTTGTCATTAGAGTTAGCAGTGCACTCTTTATAATGAGAATAGATAAGGTTATGAACAAAGATTTGTGCAAATATTAACCGTTTTTCCATACGGGTAAATTTCCCATTACTAACCTACAGCAGAGAAAAGAGCAGAATTCAATTTATACTTACGCATAAAGCGTTCTCGAATCTGTTGATATTTTGTAATGACGATTTTCCATTAAAATGACCAATTTTTGTAGTATACATTACTGAGAATAAGTAAGGAAGTGGAATAATTTGCTTGAAAATTAATGTGATGATGTCATTACTAAGTGATGATATTGTTTTACTGTGCGATGATACCCAAGCCATACAATCAGCAATTAGTGTCCGTAGTTATGGTACGTGTTTTGCACCTTCGAAGTACAAAGTACTTTTATAAGACTGACAGGACCTTGGTTAGTGAGCAGGTAGTGGTTGGGATGATTTTGCATCTCTGTTGCTGCGTAAGTACTGGTGTTGGCGTGAGTGATGAGATCAGTGCATGTATAGTGAAAGCCAGAGCAGCTTATGCAAACCTGGGCCATCTTTGGCGCCTTCGTAATGTTAGTCTAGATGTAAAAGGTCGGATCTACAACGCGTCAGTGCGATCAGCTTTGCTATATGCTTGTGAAACCTGGCCTCTTCGAGTTGAGGATGTTAGACGACTCTGCGTCCGATCATCGCTGTCCGAAGGATTGCTGACATCCAGTTGCAACACCATGTTAGTAATGCAGTGGTTCGGCATCGTGTGTTCTGGCACAGAGATGATAACCCAATTGGTGTCACCATCTTGAAACACCGACTTCGGTGGCTTGAACATTTTCTACGGATGTCGTCCCAGAGAATTCCACGTCGTGCATTATTTGCCGACTCTGGAACTGGTTGGAAAAAGCGGAGAGGTGGTCAGTGTATGACATGGTGTCGTGGTATGAAAGCTGCAAAATGCTGGCTTCTGTTGGTCCTTCACGAGTTCCTGGCTGTGGTCCTAGAGATGGTGCAACACAGTGGCTAGAGACGTTATCAGATATGGCTCAGAATAAAAGTCAGTGACGGTCCTGACATAACTTTCTTCATAAAAAATGGACGTAACTACCTTAACAGGAAGAATACTTTCTGGTTGTAAATTTGCATTTCCCGTTATGACTAATTTACTCTTATACACTAATTTCTGTTCCTTATTGTTCGCCTTTTTCTTATATGCACTTTACATTCTCATTACTATTGTGCGGTGCATATGTATCTGATGCCTTTTGTACCAATGACGAATAATTAATCGAGAATGAAATGAATACTTCTAAAAGTATACTTTGACTTGATCTTCAAATAGATGATTTGTAGAAAAACCAATATTTCTTGAATTCTATACCCCATTATCCGAAGTTACATACAGCCTCTACTAGTCAATACCTAATTGCGTTAATTTTAGAAATTATAAAGGACATGCTATTTCTAATCAACGGCAGTGGGAATGTGATTTAGCTGACAGCCAAGTCTCGTATACTAGGATAAAAAAGTCAAAAATTTAAAGGATTAAGTTCCGGACGTGACCCCAGACTACCAGTTGAATAATCTACCTGATAAGCATCGCGGAGGAACATAGGTGGCCCAAGCATTCTACATCATTGGAGATCCTTTCCGGTCGCAATTCATCCTTTTGGTGTCTGCTCCCAATTCTCAACGCAGTGTGTTCTTTGACCTTCCTCGTTTCCGTTTCCCTTTACGATTCCAAGTTAGCACTTGTTAAATGATACAGTTTAATGATCTCCACAATGCGTGTCCTATCCACCTCCATCGTCTTTTCCTAATTTCTTCTTCAACTGGAAGCTGGCTTGTTCTGTCACAGTGGATTGTTGCTGGTGGTATCCGGTCAACGGATATTGAGTATATTATGTAGACAATTGTGTATGAATAGTTGTGCTTCTTGATGATGGTTGTAGTAGTTCTCAAAGTTTCAACTCCTTACAGTAGATCTCTCTCTCAACGTTCGTATTGAAAATTCTGAATTCGATATTGGCTTGTATTCAGTCGTTTTGCGTTCCATATGTTATTCAAATGTAGAAATGCTGTCCTTCCTTTACCAATCCTTGCATTTACATCTGCATCTGATGGTGTCCAGGTACGTGAAGACTTGCATACCTTCCAGATTTTCTTCATCAAGTGCGACTGGATTGGTGTTCTCCTTGTTGTATTTGAAAATCTTTCTCTTTCCCTTGTGTATGTTGAGATTTACTGTTATAGAGGCGGATGCTACATTGTTTGTCTTCACCTGCATTTGTTGGTATATGATAAAAGGGTCAGGTCATTTATGAAGTGTAAATTGTCTAGTTGCATGTAAGCCATCCGTGCTTCCCCTCAGATATGGGGGTCTTCATAATCCAGTCAACCACCAGAAGAGAGTTAGCAACATTGTCTAACTCCGATTGTCACTTGGAATACATCTGTCAGTTGTCCCCCATACACCACTTTGCACTGTAGTCCGTCGTATAAATTCCGGATGATGTTGACAATCTTCTCACCTACTCATTCCAGTGTCGAAGTCTCCACAATGTTCTCCTATTTACACTGTCAAACGCCTATTCATAGTCAATCAAGCTGATGTATAGTGACAAGTTCCACTCAACTGATTGTTCGACGATGATACATAGTGTCACGATTTAGTCGGTACACGACATATACTATGCAATCCAGCCTGTTGATATCGATGTTGGGCGTCTACTGAGTTGTCTATTCGGTTCAACAACACTCTGAAAACTTTCCCTATTACTGATAGTAGCGTGATGCCTCTATGGTTGTGTGTGACTTCGGTGCTTAAGCTGCTATATTGTCAGGTCCTGCGGCTTTCCCATTCTCGATTTGTCTGATGGTTATGCTAATTTCTTCGATTGTTGGTGGAGTGACAGCTATGGGAAGGTCTGAGTGTGCTACTTCGATGCCCGGTGAGTTCAGTGAAGCTGGTCTACTCAAGAGTCCCTCAACGTGTCCTACCTCTGTTCTTGAATCTCAGAGATTGGCTTGCTTTCCTTTTCTTTGACTGGTCTACAGTATTTCCGTGTTTCTCATAATATCATTTATCTACATATTAGATTTCAACAATCAGAGTACTTCGTCAGGATTTGCAAGAATTTAGAGAGTTAACTTATTATTATGTACGAACTAACACTGTTGTTCAGTAGCCTCGATTAGGTTAGATTTTTATGAATCCTATAATGTTTTACTTAAGGACACAGATACGGGAAACTCAATGGTTCTTATAATGTTTTGAAATGAACAAGATTATTTAACGTAATTGCCGCATTTAAATCTCATCAAGATATGTGACAGATCGCTGGAAATGGGTGGAAACTTTTATGATCTGTATCACAGTTAAACTATTATGTGAGAAAATTTTATGACTAAATTTTTGAATTACCAATTTTTTAAAGAAATCGGAAATTTTAATTACTTTTTAAATCTTATGGTCAGATCACTTCGGAATATGGTCGATTAAGTAAATTTCAGCGTCTGATGGTTCATTACATTATTAACCCTAATATGGAATATGCACAGCAACTCTAGAGATTTGAAGCGTCTGCAACATCGAACTTTTCTTCTGGGTTCATGAATACTTCCGGTCACCTCAATTATTTGTTATCAAAATGTTATTTGGAAATCCGAAGTTATATTTATTCACCGTTACGATAGAATTATATTCATTTCACGTCTACCTATATAAAACAACAATTACTACAGCAATAAAGATTAATAATTTGTAGCAAATGATGTGTATTGTATAAATAACCAGTATGATTAAATAAATGTTTACTCTATATATTAAATTACTAAGTATTTAGATTTTAAAAGTTATTACGAAGTAATAACAATTACTGAACGAAATGAAAACAATGGTATATATGGTAAATGTTTATGATGATGATAATTATAATAATTGTTAGTTCATAATTACGTGAGAACAGTTATGATAATGGGTGGACATCTTGGACATAGAGATCAAAGTATAATCTGATTGAATCTTGAGAATGGTAGATGAGTTACGATCTCCAGTCGATATAGTTATCATTGCATGGAATGACAAACGAAATACTAAAGAGCATACGAACAAACAAATCCTGGAGCACTTATCAGCAAACAGAACCGTTATAATACGAAGTAAAAGGAACAACCAATTCACAATAAACAATCAATGAGGTGTTCTTCTAGATCAGCTCGGGATGCAAACATTTGATGACATCCAGGACACCACGGTTGTTCCTAAAAAATAGAAATAAGGCTTCAGAAAAGCAGAGTATCGTCTTAAGAGAATAATGAAATAGATTGACCGGATATAAACTTGTCATGTATAAGGCAACATCCATTATCAATTTAGATCGTTAATAACAGATGTCACCCAATGAGATGTATAGCCATAACTTTGCACACAAAACTATATAGTCTGAGAAACTGTATAAAGCAGTTGATTAATAACTTTAGGAAAAGTGAACCCCAGAAAACCAGTCTAGTTTCACGCGTAGATGTGAATGTATAGATCAAATATTTAAAGTTTAGTAGGTCCGGAATTACATGTATACTTAATGATGGGCAACTATAGTTATACTTACTCGCCTAAAGAATGGATTGACAGGTTTTATACCAGTACCTGTTACTGAAAGATGTACTAAACAACTCTAGTCTTTGAAGACTGTAATCGAACAATAACAATTACACTGAAGACTATAGCGAACCGTTGTGAAAACGGGCCACATCGGGTGGTGATTTGTCAGGACTAGTTACTTTTCTCCCAGTATTTTACCATAGAGGTGAATTTCGAGGAAACGTTTTCGTTGTGTGACTTTTTAAGAATCGATTTCACACCTTCATATTTACGTGTTGACTAGGTGAACACAGCTGATAAGTTTTCTACATCCATTGAGCCAATGGAAAAACGTTTATTCTCCTCTAAAATAGTTGCTTCCAGATTAGTCTGTGTTAATGTTTAGTACAACCAACGAAAGTAAAGCAGTCTAGGGTAAATGGTGAAATATGGACACATTCAACACTTTTAGAAAACATGCAATATAATAAGCATAAAAATAAATTGAGTGACAATTGACAATAACATACAGTTACAAGAATGGGTGAGTCTCACACTAAAGATAAATGTCAAAATGCTATTTCTAGTAATAATCTGTATTTTGTCAATAAAAGCATGATATGAAAACTGTACTGAAGAAACAACCCATTATAAATGAGCGCCAAACGAAACTTACCTCATCAACCGAATAACTTGGAACAGATGGCCTTTCCATAGGTTTTTTGAACGACTCCTCACAAGGATTGAGACCCAGTTCGGTTAACCATGACCCATAATTGGAACGACTGTCTTGATTCTCCGTCAATTGCTGTATTTGGCGGCGGACAAAGCCACCAACATAGGATAAAAATGAGGGCATCAATGTTTTAGGTTCAGAAGGGATTCCGCCATTTTCAGATAACTAACAAGTAAAAATTTAGTGTACCAAGGTTTCAGTACACAGATTTACGGGGGCGGTCTAGAGTATTGTTGGTTAAACAACCCTGGTACATAAAGTAGAAGCTTATATATATTACAGCATAATGTTACAAGGATCAAATGAGGAAGCTGCAAATAACCTTTATTTACTCAAGTGATGAATTGTGCTGGTTTATTTCTTAAGAAGTTAAAAGTATTAAACAAAGCAGTTTTGATAGCTATAGTGAAATCAGAATTCTCATCTAGCTCTAATTTAGCAGCTTGTGACATTTAGTAAGATTAGGAGAATAACTTGACCATAATATACTAACCACGTTATCAAAATACGATATAAAGTTTTTTGAGGTCCGCGTGACTATCGTAACTAATGGTTGGAGACCCTTGGTGACATTGCTCAGAACCGATCACAATGACGTCGGTGTATACAGTCTGTCTTCCCTTAAACAGTGAAATTAAAATTGCTTTATATCTTTCTATCAGTTAATTCTTCCTTTCTGTACTACATCCTTATACACAATCTTTCTTTTATATATTACTACAACTGAAGTAACTGTTTCTATGAATTTGGTGTTCATCTTGCTGTGCTAATGAGGTGTGGTAACTTGGACCGATGCATATATATATGATTGGTCCTACGTTTTAGCTGACTGGCTGATCTGCAAACTAATTTTCTCCGAACAATTGCATTGGTTAAGAGATACCAAGCTGCTGTAAATGTCATTCCTGAATCTACACAGATACAACAAGGTCACAACTCACGTCTGATGGAACTTCTATAAAATACTTTCACTTTTTAATGCTAGACAACTGTTGAACAAAAAATATTGAGGAAACATTTACCTCTGGACTGTTGTCAGGAGCAGATGGAGTCGAACTAAATTCGTTGATGTTGGAAATTTCTGTTACTTCTTCACCAGCTGTCAATGGAGGGGGTATATGTTTACTTGAGACACCATTAAAAGAAAGATGTGGCCAAAGATTTAAAATACTTGGTGCACTTGGAACATTATGTGTTACAGAAGTTTCGGGTTGAGTAGGTGGTGTGTTAGCTACTGGAGCTAAGAGTTTATCATCTGACAGTGATACCACTGAAGTTGTTGTGTTAGGTGTTGAAAAATCTTGATTCCTTTCACTTAAAATACGTAAGACCTCTTCACGAACAAGTTCCTTCAAATCAATATTTCTCGTTAGTGAAGCCTTCGATAAAAACAGACAAAGATAATTAGAAACCAGTAAGCTTATTAGTTAAAAAAGGTATTGTTTCAGTTTATGAGTAACATCATATAATTGCAAGACAGATTTAGAAGACTGAAAGATAAGCAAGTTATTTTTGTAGTATAACCATCCTGTTTTATGTAGGAAATTTAGTGGTGTCATTGTACAAAGAGGGTCCAAAGTAGAATTTAATTCGCTACCTATTTTCGAAATAACCAACGACAAAGAGCAACATTATTTCAACGAATTCTTGAATCAGATTTGCCAAAGGTCTGGAAAATAATCAGAAGTGTTAGTTATTTAGGTCAGTACTGACAGTTTTTAAAGCACAACACTGAAATCAGAAAATAACAAGACGGAGTAGGAATAGAATTAATTTTGTTTGTTACTACATTCTAGTGAAAGCCAATAATGCAAACCGAATATTTAGCAGTTTAAAGAATGTTGGACATTTATATTTGCGTGAATAGATGCTTATGATACATGTCTTGAACTCAGTGTAACATCCCGTGACATCAGTTTTCGTTTCCAATGGGACATTATTTTTATTCTCAATGGAACATTTTAGTCAGCATGACATTTAGTTAATATTTTACAATGTAATATTATTCTACGTCAGTATATTTGTATTAGATGTACATTTTTGTTCAGTATGACAAGTGTGAACTTTGTTTTACCGTAAACTTATGAATTTTTACATTTATATGTTTATTAACTAATCAAATTTATTTAAAATCAGTATATAGATGATTGTATCTGTTCTAACCTCTTTGAGTTTTTTTAGTTAATCTTGATTGCATTAGTATTTCGTGTTCTTACTTTGAGTTGTCGAAATAGCGACTCCCGTTTCAAAGCATAAGCAATATGACCGCGAATATAACATGAATCAATGTAATGCAATCACTAAGTAGATAATTATGCGCTAAGCTGAAACACAATCTTCGTAACAGAGTTAACAATACCTACTACTCAACTGAATGAAGGTTTGATCCTGGAAGCTATTGGTTGAAGACCAAGTGCCTAGTGATCAACTAAGCTACTGGATATTGAGTGTCAAGCTACTGTCTAGCTCGATATCGATAAAGTAGGTCTGAGTCAGAAAAAAACTAAATGCAACCAGTTCAAAACAGTACGAATTCATGAAGTCAACTATTGGTTTGAGTCTTGTAGAAGTACCAAGTCCTAAATGATATCCTTTGAGAGGCAAAATTGTATACTAGGGGACCTTAGTCAATAAAATGATTAGATGATAATCATTTTTAAAAAATCAAATATAACCTATAAATCATAAAACAATTTATTCAGCAAAGGAATACTTTTTAACGAGTTCATTTTCAAAGATGTACAATCGTACACATATGTGATAGACTACAGGTCAACGAGTAATAATGTCTGTTAGAATTTATTTAGTCATATGAAATTCGACCACATCACTCTAAATAAACAGGTAGTTATTCAGGGAAAACTACGAAAAATGGAGAATACGTAGTAAATAGGGTGATAAGTGTGGTTGAAATGAAAGTATGTGAACGGTAATCAGAAAATCTGGATTAATAATAATAAATCAGAGTAAAGTAGAATCATTTTGTAAACTTAGGGGTAGGAACAAAGAAGAAAGGGAACAATCAATTAAACAAAATCAAACTACAAACTAGGATCATGACACGCACAACTCAGCTTTTAAAATATGGATAGGTCCGTGGAATGCTCGTACAATGTGGGAGAGAGGAAGAGTTTTCCGAATTGCTGCAAAAATTAGCCGAAACAAACTGGAAGTGCTCGGAATCAGTGAAACACATTGGATGCAGATTGGACAGCAAACACTAGTTTCACGGGAGCTTCGGTTATACTCCAGCTATGAAGAAGAAAATGTCCCACATACACAAGGAGTTACATTGATGCCATACAAACAATCACAGAATACACTTATGTGATGGGAATCTCATGGAACAAGGATCATCAAAGCCTCCTTCAAAACAAAGAAAGAGGGAATTACAATGAACGTCATCCAATTCTATGCGCCTAACAACGACTACAATGAAGATGCTAAAAATCAATTATACGATAGGCTGCAGTCAATCGTCCAGAAGTGCCCAACAAAGGACTTGACCATTCTGATGGGAGATTTAAATGCCGAGGTTGAAATGAACAACATCGGATATGAAGACACCATGGGACAACATGGAATGGGAGAAAGGAACGAAAATGGTGAGAGATTTGCAAACCTATGTGCCTTTAACAAACTAGTCATAGGGGGCACCATATTCCCATGTAAACACATACACCAAGCCACATGGACTTCACCGGATCAGTCAGTCAGCTACAACGTAGGACGGGGCACATATATGCATCGGTCCAAGTTGCCATACCTCATTAACACAACAAGATGGACACCGGATTCATAAAAGTAGTTAATTCAGAAGTGGTAATATATACAGGAAAGATTGCAATAAGGATATAGTACAGGAAGAAAGAATTAGTTCGTAGAAAGAAAGATATGAAGCGATTTTAATCTCTTAGTTTAAGGGAAGACAGAGAGTGTATACACCGACGCTATTGTGATCAATTCTGAGCCGTGTCACCAAGAGTCACACTACACAAAACCAAATCGACCATAACTGCATCATAAAAAAATTCAGGAGGACAATTGATGATGTAAGAACCAAGAGAGGAGCTGATATAGCATCAGATCATCATCTGCTGGTCGCCAAGATGAAATTGAAACCCAAGAAGCACCGGACATTGGGGCGGACAACATCACAAAAGTTTAATACAGCTTTTCTTCGGGATACTGGCAAACCCAACAAATTCAGGATAGCCCTCAACCATAGACTCCAGGCAGCAAGAGCAGCATATTTACAATTGAAGAACATCTGGAACTCAAAACAACTGCCAACCAACACCAGTCAGTATTTTTAATACAAATATCAAGATAGTTCTACTGTATGGGGTGGAAACCTGGGGAACTACGAAAGCTATTATCCAGAAGATACTAGTGTATATTAACAGCTGTCTACGCAAAATACTCCGGATCCATTGGCCAGGTAATATTGGTAGCAACCTACTGTGAGGGAGAGAACAAACCAGATCCCAGTAGAGGAAGAAATCAGGAAGTCGATAGGAAACACATTGAGCAAAACACCCAACTGCATCACAACGCAAGCCCTCACATGGAATGTTCAGGGCCAAAGGGAAAGAGGGAGACTAAAGGACACATTACTTCGGTAAATGGAGGCAGACATGAGAAAAATGAACAGAAATTGGATATAACTGGAAAGGAAGACCCAGGATAGAGTGGGTTGGAGAATGTCGGCCGGCGGCCTATGCTCCATTGTGAGTAACAGGCGTAAGTAAGTATATTTCGTGGTTTCTCATCAGCTGCTTACAACCAACTATGTAGTAAAATTTGACATTGAGGTAAGATGTGGTGTAAAACAATTGACATGGGTGAATGGAACGAATCGGAATGACAAATGTGATCAATAATAACTAAATATGTATGTTTTCCTAATAGATTTAGACAGCTTTTTAGTATATATACGGCAATATCTCCCCTAAAGTGGAGGTTTACAAGGTGAAATGTAAATCTAAGGTGTACATCAGAATAAGATCATTAACATACAAATGAAACATACGGTTTCCATCAACAGTGCGTCCGTAAATAATGAATTAATGTCAAATGAAATCATAATCCTATTCGAAACGTTTACACTACTTACAAAATTGAAAATCTTAAACATATCATTCAGAGAATACTTACAAACATCTCTTCGAATTAGTTCAAGAACAGAATGGTACAATGATCCAGTCATGTAGAGAATGAGACGAAAGGGTATGTACCTTAGGTAAATTATATAGTCTGGGTATGATAGGACCTGGTTTTATTATTCTGAATCGGTCAGATGTTATTAAAGGATATTTTGTTCAAACGCTTTAGAATATCTGTAAGCTGCCTTTGGACAGTTTTATTTTCTTTATCTAACTTCGAAAGATTACTATCATCAGATAATAATTTTTTTCAATTTTATCTATGTAGTTTACCCAATCCAGTAGCAATATTTCTGTTCCTTTCTCTGGACGCGTTAATAAGGTTCTTCACTGACCTAAAATTTATTACATGTAATTGGGATTGTGCAGCTTCAGAATAAACTCATAAAAGATAACCTTGCTGGATAAATTGTTTTACTATATATATAAAAACATATCATACCTGATCAATCGCCTCTTTTGCAAGATTAGTATATGCTGGAGTTTCGTGGTTTGGAGCATTAGAAGAAACCTGAATTTAAAGAGAAATCGGTTTGAGTGGGAAAAATTGGGAACTCATCAAAATAACAATGATAAAAGATGAATATTTACTCTATGTATACTTCCCATCGAAAGGACAGAAATAATTTTACGACAAGAACACAAATTCAGAAATCCGTATTCTGAGTAAATCTATATACTTGGACCCTTAAATTGAAAGAGAGTGATACGTTCTATTGTGAATTATAGAAATATAATTGAAGCTCAACATATTCAGATTGATACTGTGTACAAGAATGTACGAGGTAGCTGATACACCTTTTACAACCAAAAGTGTACAATATTTCCAGGCTATTTGACGGACTTACCATAGATGGTAACGGGATCTCATCTGGTAAACAAGTATCAAACTTTAATGTGTGACTACCCACCTGAATACCATTAGAGTTCATATTGTTCATGCAGTCTTTATCAGGGGAATTTTGGAGCTTGTTCGCCAAATAAACTTGAGTGTATGTCTCCGAAGTGCTTTTATCGGTTTCTGAAAGTTAACATAAAAATGTAAACATTTAAATCCAATCGACAAAGTTCAGTCACAAAATGCACTAAAAATTCCACAAACTGGATATATTCGACACTCATTATGTTTACATATTCTATTCTTATACGATAGCTGCTAAGTTGATGTGGTGGTTGGGACTGACAATCGTGACGATTAAATCGAGATATATTAGTCGGAGAAATTGTTCTTTTAGGTCCTATTAAGTCCTGCTATGGCGGATAGGGCGGTTGGAGAATTGTAAAACTAAAAGTTTCGAGATCGAAGCCACACCGCTGACTGCGTAGGGGTGCGATGTCAGTAAGATGTTTCCCTCAGACAGCTAGCTTCTGTAGCGGTGTTACCTGACGATAGAAGGGGCTAGGAAAAGTGAACCCTAAAAACATAATACCCCATCTTACTACACGTATTTTCGTCCCCGGAAGGCTTTTTAAAGTAAAGAGATAAAGCAGTAGGAAACCTTCAAAAAGGGCGTGTGTGACCGACTTAGGAGGTTGCTCATTGGGCTTTGCAGTTACTCGTCCAGACTAAGACCAAAATTAATAAAGTTTCCTCTACAGGTACATCAAGTATCCTCCTGCTCTATGGGCATTCAAAAAGTAATGGCCGATCTTATACCTCTAACAACGTACGAGATCTTGTTCGTGATCAAATTCCTTTGTCACTTCCCGATATTTCTACTGCCCCCATGATCCTGTTGCAGTTTGGGAACCCTCGTAGTATTCTAGCCCTCACACCAATCAAATGAGGAAGTGTGGCACACGTATATTCGGTGACTCCTAGTACCAATGCTTGTGTTTAAATAAAATGAATGGTTCGATGATTGACCCTTCTCGCACGACATTAAGTCCATAAACCACTAATGTTAACGAATCAGGTTCACCAAATGTTGCTGAAGTTGTGCAATCTTAAGTTACAACTTACGACAAGCGAACCAGTAACTACTAGGCCAAAATTCCGTTACAGCAAATTATTCAATGTGAACAATATTGTTAGGATTTTAATACCCCAGTATGGCCGAGAGTGGGGTGGGCCCGCCCTCCCTCTCGAAATTCTCTCACACGGGTACACGTACACAGCCTCTGCCAGGGATGTCCTACTAATTGCCTTCTCGTGGCAGGACTGTTGTTTACGAAAATGAGAGGACGAAAAGCGAATGTCTGGCTCTTTAACCGGGTTGGTGGACACAGAGATTCTACCTAGAGAATTCGAAAAACCCCGATTCCAAACTAATGGTGTACGTGGGCTCCGGCGGGAACAAATGGCGTATGAACCAATCGTTGGTCACCGGCTACCATGGGACTGCATCTCCTTACGATGCTTCACTGCCTTGTGGATCAGACCTTTAGGTCGAAGGCTCGGGGTATGGCCCCCTAAGAAAACCACCCGCTTCGGTTTGGGCAGCCGGGCAGTATCACAACCCATACACAAATATAATGAAAATGATGGTATTTACTGAAAACTCTATTATCGCTTCGACTTACTGTCAAACAATTATTATTATTATTTACTACCACAGGATTGATGTCAGCAAGTTGGTTGCGACTTCTGTTGCTAGTAAGTATCAAACCGAGCTAGTTTCTAGGCTAGCTAGCATTCCACCGAAAAGTATAGATGAGCATTGGTTGCAATTGCATGACGCTATGAAAATGGCGAGTGAGGTCACTTGTGGGTTCGCGAAACGTCCCGCTTAGAAGCACTGGGTTTCTTCAGGCTCCTCACAACTCATTGAAGCCCATCGGTCTACGCCGGGTGACCGTGAGTTTGACCACAAACGAAGGATGTTACGTAAAGAAATCGGGCAAAGCTTGCGTAAGGACCGAGAAGCCTGGTGGTCGGAGCGTGCTAATTAGTTGGAAGCAACAGCTGCATCTGGTAACTACCGGAAGCTCTTCCAACTCATCCGAGCCATTGGCAGCAAGAAGTCTGGTGTGAGCGAAACAATCTGTGAGGATGACGTAACGCCAATCACTAACATCCATCGACGTCTTGGACGATGGGCAGAATTCTTCGAAAGGCAGTTCAACTGGCCTGTTGCTCCGGCAACATCGGCCAGACTGCCCTGCCCTCCATGGCCGGTGACGACTGATCCACCAAATGAGGTGGAAGTCCGCAAGGAACTCCAACTATCAAAACGCTACAAATCACCGGGGCCTAGGTGACTTACTTCCGGCCCCTTTTAAAGATGTTGACTTTCTGGCTAAGGGACTGACGACGTTGTTTGCAAAGGTTTGGGAGCTAGAGAGTGTACCAACGTCAAGGAATGAATCGATAGTTGTCCCTATCTTTAAAAAGGGTTCACGTCGTTCCTGCAACAACTATCGGGGGATAAGTCTACTTCCGATTGCGTCCAAGCTATCGGCTTTCGTCATACTTCGTAGGTTGTTTAAAACCCGAGAAAGATTGACTCAAGAGGAGCAGGCTGGTTTTCGTTCCGGTTGAGGATGCATTGATCATATCTTCGCCCTCCGCCAAATGTTAGAACACCGCCATACTTATCAAAAGGCCAATAATCGTAGTGTTTCTTGACATTAGGGCTGCCTTCGATTCGTTGAACAGGACTGTTCTCTGGGATTGTCTATTGAAGAAGGGTGTGCCTGAGAAGTTTATTAACATCTTAAAAGACCTATATACAAACACCTCAGGCAGAGTGAGGGCATACAACCACCTCTCTCCATTGTTCCATTCAAGAAATGGGGTTAGACAGGGTTACCCAGTCTCATTATTCCTCTTCAACTTTGCCATCGATGACATTCTGGAAACAGCTCTGATGGATGTAAGTAATGGTGGTGTGGATCTGTTGTTTAGAGAAAGACTTCTCGACCTTCAACATGCGGATGATATTGTCTTACTATGCGATAACGCCCAAGCCATACAATCGGCACTTAACCAGTTGGCAGCCACGACCAGGTCTGAAGCCAGCTTGATTCTCTCGTGTTTGTAGTTCACGAGTCTTAGTCAGGCATCTGATAATTATCAAGACTAGTATTTTAGATAGTATATTAAACTAATCCCTCTGTGGTTGTCACAGGATGATTTTGATCCTCTCTTATATATTGGGACGATAAGTGATTGTGACCAGTTACATGGAATAATGTCTAACTCCCAGATCTTAGCTAAAATATTAGTCAACCTAATCGCTAAAATTGGACCACCATACTTAGAGACCTATGGAGCCAATCCATCTGGACCAACTGCCATTCCTCGTTTCAGATTAGCTATAGCCTTTTGAACTTCTGCTAGAGTTGGGGAACCTACTTCAATGTTCCATTCACATTTTCTAAGAATGGAGGGTAGTTGTAAAGTAGCTGAAGGTCAGCTGAACTGTTCTCTAAAATGTTCCGCCTATCGTTCTAAACGTCTGAACTGAGAGCAGATGAGGGTATCGTCTTTTTCCGAAATAGTCTGACTTACACCTGATTTATTAATTCAAGTTTCTTTTATTAGCCTGTAGAGCTGTCTTGTGTTCCCTATAGCCGCCGCCTTTTCCATCTCTTCTGCTTTCGTGGTATGAAAGAAAGCTGCAAAGGGCTGACTTCTGTCGGTCCTTCACGACTCCCTGGCTGGGGTCCCAGAGATGGTGCAACACAGTGGGTAGAGACGCTATGAGATATGGCTCAGAATAGAAGCCAGTGGCGATCCTGCTGTAACCTTCTTCATAAAAAAATGGTTGTTTCTTCCCTAACTGAGAGCTTTATTCTGATTGTACCTTTTCGTTTCCCCCATTATTTATTATTATTACACTACCTTACACTAATCTGTTCGTTATCATTCTTTTTTTACGCTCCTTACTTTCTTTTTTCTATTCGATTTCTCAATGTTTTGTGTGGCGCATATATATTTGGTGCCCTCCTGTACCAATATTTGTGTCCAAATAAATGAATATGTTATTTCAAACACACATCTAAATATCCAGATCATTTTTTAATCATATAATCGACAAACTGAATATATATGTATTGAGTATACTGGGGAACCATGATCATGCGCAACCCCTCATCCATTGTCTAAGGTGGATAACTGTGTCACACTCGATACATATTGGACTCCACAGGTCACGGCTTCTCACTAGGAGTCCAAGGAATCTCTCTAGAAGCTAGTCACTAGTGAGCACACTTTTTTCAGTACAGGGATTTGTGAATATTGTATTATATTCACAGTTGAATATTGAGGCATCTAAAAGCTTCATATAATAAACTGGTGTTTTTACTCTAATTGTGCGGTAGAAAAAAAGACGATAATTGTTGCGCTACAAATACTAGGATTGGATTAGCAATTAAACAACATAGAGAAAAAATTATTCCTGGCCAACTGAAAAAAGCGTTCTAATTACATGTTGAACCTTTCGGTTTTCGGAATTTTCATCATGGAGGACAAGATACCTTAGATATGACTTCGGAATCCAATGTAATTGATATATACTGCGTCTTTGAAATATGCATAAAGGATTAAAGTGGCAACGCATGTTACGTAGTCAGTATTGAAAACAGGTGTGATTTACCTTCCGTATATTATGGCTCTTGATCTTGACGGCCAGTTTTGTAGACTTAATGCCGTGAATATAGCATTAAGTTTAAAGAGCCTGAAAGAGGAGTTGAATTACTAGTTTTAGCGACCTGTGGACGTGACCGCAGACCCCAAGGAATGACTGCTTGTGACCGGTCACGCACGGCTTCGCACTTGGAAAGGCCTTATCGCCGAAGGTGTAATACTTTTAGAGTCGACCCTTCATAACTCCTTCCTTCCATCGTGAGGAAATAACATCACTGAACATGATGGTTGCCTGAGCGGAACACCAACTTAGCAGCCACGGTCAGGTAATTATAACACATAATTATGAGGCCCTGTAGCCAACTGAATTAATAAGTTGTTACAAGTAGCAGTTCAAGTTGCGATTCCACCAAATTGACGGAAATGCAAATGAATGTCTAAAACGAACGTAGAAAAACGATAACGGACAAAAAAGTGGATGACACTTCGTGATCTCACATTGTCACATCAACTTTAAAAGTGCTAGACCTACTTTTTATTGCAGCTGCCTCGGTGTGCAAGGTCTGAATTCTGTTATGCATAGAATTTAGGAAGTTGCATACATCATCGACTGTACTGTCATCGCTAAGAAGTGATCCAGTCTCGTCCAAAACAGATTCTTCTTTAGAACTAGAATTAATTTTGAGATGATTTGTACTTAGTACTAGAATGAGAAAACTTACGAGAGCGTTGAGTCAAACTTTTTGATCTCTGTTTCAATCTTCAAAATCGGCTCAATGAGTTTTTTCCATTTCTAAAAGAAAGTCCGTTAGAAGTGAAGCTCTAAGAACTGGTGACATACGCGAGTCTCTGCTTCTGCTTTACGAAGCTGATTATTTAACTCCACTAGCTCTGTCATAACAACTTGCTTCTCTTCATTGACAGCAACTAGTCGTGAACACAGCTGCCTCACGTAGGTCTTCCGCACTTCCTCGGGGCTTACCGACTAGAAAATATAATGTAGGCACAGTCTTACAATATCATCTAGCTGCTTTACTAAGTGTTCAACAGTCGATGAATGATCTGGTGTACTACTTTGTAAGGTTACAGTGATGGCAGTTTGTAATTCATCCTTCAACAGGATACTTGATTGATTGAGAGTGCCTGACAAAAATAACTAGATAAATTATGTGGTTTACGTATTGTCTGCTTAAATAAATCAACCAGAACATCGAGGCGGGCTACAGCATCACGACGATTATCATTTTCTTCGTTAACAACAACAAATTCCTCGTTTGAATCCATTACAATGCTCAATAAACTGTGTTTGGCGCCTACGGGCTGTTGATTCCCAGCTTAGGCATTCAATCTTCAGTCTTCAGTCATAAGGATAGTAGGTTGGTGAACCTGCATTAATCCTGACACATTGCTTTCCAGTGAAGGTCCAGCTTCCCCTTGAAAGTATTCACTGATGGGGCTGATACCACTTGTTCGGGTAAGGCGTTCCAATCATTGACTACTCGATGAGAAAAACGGCACCCCAATTTAAGTTTATTAGATCTTGGTTTATGAACCTTCTTGCTATGACCGCGGAGATTATTAGTGCTGGAGGGAGCAAAAAGATAGGACATATTAACACCCAAATCATAATTAAAGATATGAAATGCCAGTATAAGGTCACTTCGTGTACTGCGATACGATAAGGGGAAAAGATTTAGGCGTTTTAAACGCTCACCGTAAGGGAGTCTAGAAAGACCCTTCACTAATTTCGTTCCTACACGCTGGACACGCGCAAGGGAGTTAGTATCCTTTACCAGACACGGGCTAGCTGCTTGGATACAGTACTCTAAATGTGGTCTAACACATATGGGATATAAAATTCGAAACGTTTCCTCGTCAATAGATTTGAACGCTCGGCGAAGTGACCATAGCGCACGAAAACGTTTAACAGCGGCTGCTTTGCAATGCGTAGTTGTTTTTAAATCATGAATTAATACTACTCCTAAGTGTTTATGCTCTTGAACGCAAGGAAGAGGTTTACCCCCAATAGTGTAACGGTAACTATTACCGTGACCGATGTGCATTAGCACACTCTTCCTAGCATTGATTTCTAAGCCCCACTCTCGAATAAGTCCAATAAGTCCGAAAACAGACTAGGAGGAATAATATACTTGAATAATTACTAACAATCAACACAGACTCTATATCAGTGAACATCAGTCACGAGTTTTTTATGAATGATGATAGAGTTGTTTTGAGTAATATTCACTCTCTAAACATTATGCAACTGAACTCTAGAGCTACAATTATATATATATATATATATATATATATATATATATATCACATAGAAGTTGATATTTGATTATCCTTTTAATTAATTGTGACTTTCATAGCACTGCGAAAACGTTTATGTTGGGTGATCTTATCCGCAACGCAACCATGTAAACTTAATGTACCGGTCATCTTTGCGTTCAAGTAACCACAGATTTTGACATTTCATAATGTATTTTTAATTAAATAACTAGATTATATAGCTAATTTTGATCTTTTTTTATATTTTTATTCGCCACGTTCGACTGCGTTACACTGCACGTCCAAAAAACAATGCTGATTCGAAGTAAATTTCACACCAAAATGTAGAACATTACACTAACTGCGGCATCTTAGCACATTGAAACATTAATTACATAGCTACACAAAAGAAATAGCTAAAAGAAGCACAGAGCGAAGATAGCCGACCGCCATTACGTACAAAGATGGCTGATATAATAATTCCCGCCACATTCTGATTGGTTGCTAAGCTGAAGGGCACATTTACGAAATTGAGTTGCGTTTAATTGCAGCCTTTATGTTCATATCATGTTTTACTCTGAATCCTATCATATGGATTACCATATATTCACGCTAGTACAATAGAAGATTTAAAATATGAATGGTTAACTTCAGAGGTCGATATTCATTACACTCTTACTAAACCATGTCAATAAGCGTTCATTTCTTTTCTCTCTCTTTTCCCTTCTAAATGAATATTATTCCCAATATTCAGAAGTGTATAATTAAAACAACAACTTGTATCACACTTAAATAGATTGACTTTTCCTGCACAGTCCATATTACATTGGTATATGGATCTATAGGGAGCTTTGTAAGTGAAACATATTTTAGAGTTCCCTGTAGTTCGTTCCTTCGGTGTGTGCGTTTTCAATGTACTTGTAATCTTGCCTACATCCATGCGTTCGCTGTTCACTACATCATGAGATTCCACTGTTTCGGTTTCATTCAGATCTAAAGACGGACTCATGATGAAGCTCATTGCTTCCTTGAGATCTGACAGCTGCACATGTGCTGCTGGTTTGCCTATCTGAAGGTAGCTTTTTGACTGTAATTAGCAGTTCAACTGTTTCAAGAATCAGAGGGGATTTTGTGGGACAGTATATTATTAAGGACAACGTGATAGTGGCTTGCAACACTTCTTAGATATAGAAGTGTGAGTTCGGTGCACATTTTGTGATGCAACTTATTTCAGTTGTCACACTACATTCCTTCCTCAACCGGAAAGAAACATGTGGGTCCAACACTAGATGTTATGTTTACACCAAGTAAAATCGTAAAGTTAGTCAACAGGGAGGAACACGCAAGAAATCTTTCAACATAAAAAAAGCAAAAAGGACTGAGGAAACGATTTTAGGAATAACGGTGGTTTGAGAACTGTGAAAGTGATAAACGCTGGACGCAAAATACTTTAGCTTTGAATGTGAGCTTAGCTAAGTATGAAAGAAGCTTTTACACTTTAGGACACTATCTAAACTAGAAGATGTACTCATCGAGGAGAAATACCGTCACCCTCTTTGAATAGCACATGAAACAAATCGCAGGGTGAGTGTGTGTTGGCATTAGTTCTCAACCACAAGATCATGAAATTGAACGTATAATAACTGCAAAGATTTGCACTCAGCATTTCACACTTAGCGAAGTGGGAATGAGGAGTGCGGGAGACCTAATTTATATAGAATGGCTTGGCCATCAATATGTGGTCGCTGAATGTAACATCGTGCCCTTCATATTAAATGCATAATTCTAGACACATCCCAAATTTACTCCTCAGAAGTCTTAGGCAGAAACCACTGACTGTAACGTTACGACGAGTCAGTATGAATAGTGATGTGACTTCCACATAAGATCTTATAGACTGGATAGTCACATCTTGGCAATTGTTTCGGCATCAGGCCAATACTGGATTGCTTCAGACTTCTGTAAAACTAACTGGTTGGTAGTTACATGATCTGTCAGATCTTGTATTCTAAAGGAAACATCTAGTTGTGTGTAGTTCACATGTCTTCAGCAATTAGAAATATTCAGTCGTCTCCTGTCCCAGTTGATGAGAATAGAAAAAGTAACCTATGTTTTCGGGTTAATGCGCTAAAGAAACTTCTTACTTACTTACTTACTTACTTACTTACTTACTTACTTACTTACTTACTTACGCCTGTTACTCCTCGTGAAGGAGCAAAGGCTGCTCACCAGCATTCTCTATCCAACAATGTACTGGGCAAGCCTTTCCAGCTCCTTCCAGTTCCTATTCATCATTTTCATAGCTGCTTCTATTTCCCCACGTAATGGCCTTCCTCTTTTCCGCTTCCCTTCAGGATTCCAAGTTAGGGATTGCCTCGTGATGCAGTTTGATGATTTGCGTAATGTATGTCCTATCCATTTCCATCGTCTTTTCCTAATTTCTTCTTCAGCTGGAAGCTGGTTTGTTCTCTCCCAAAGAAGGCTGTTGCTGACGGTATCCGGCCAATGGACGTTTAGTATCTTGCAAAGACAGCTATTTATAAATACTTGTACCTTCTTGTTGATGGTTGTTGTAGTTCTCCAAGTTTCAGCTACATACAGTAGAACTGCCTTGACGTTCGTATTGAAGATTCCATATGTTCTTTAACTGTAGGAATGCTGTCCTTGCTTTGCCAATCCTTGCCTTTACGTCTGCATCTGAGCCTCCTTGTTCATCGATGATGCTTCCTAGATATGTGAAGGATTCTTCCTCTTCCAGAGTTTCGCCGTCTAGTGTGATTGGATTGCTGTTCTTCGCCTTGAATTTGAGGACTTTGGTTTTGCCCTTGTGTATGTTGAGGACTACTGATGCAGAGAATGCTGCCACACTGGTTGTCTTCATCTGCATTTGTTCATGTGTACGTGATAGGAGGGCTAGGTCATCTGCGAAGTCCAAATCGTCCAATTGATTTCGAGCTGTCCATTGAATTCCGCGTTTTTCTTCAGATGTCGAGGTCTTCATAATCCAGTCGACCACCAGAAGAAAGAGGAAGGGAGAGAGTAAACAGCCTTGTCTGACTCCGGTCCTTACTTGGAATGCATCTGTCAGCTGTCCTTCATGCACGACTTTGCACTGTAGTCCGTCGTATGAGTTCCGGATAATGTTGACAATCTTCCTAGGAACTCCGTAGTGTCGAAGAAGTTTCCATAATGTCCTCCTATCTACACTGTCAAATGCGTTTTCATAATCAATGATGTTGATGTATAGTGATGAGTTCCACTCAACTGATTGTTCGATGATGATCCGTAGTGTTGCAATTTGGTCTGTGCATGATCGATTCTTACGGAATCCAGTTTGTTGATCTCGAAGTTGGGCGTCTACTGCATCTTTCATCCGGTTCAGCAACACTCTGTTGAAGACCTTCCCTGGTATTGACAGCAGTGTAATGCCTCTATAGTTTTCACATTTGCTCAGATCTCCTTTCTTCGGAATCTTGACGAGGTGCTCTTCTTTCCAGTCCATCGGCACTTGTTCCTCCTCCCAAATCCTTTTGAATAGAAGGTAAAGCATGTTTGTAGTTGCTTCGATGTCTGACTTTAGTGCTTCAGCTGGTATGTTGTCCGGACCCGCTGCTTTCCCGTTCTTGATTTGTCTGACGGCCATTGTGATTTCTTCCTTCGTTGGTGGGTCGACGTCTATGGGAAGATCTGTGTGTGCTGCTTCGATGTCCGGTGGATTCATTGGAGCCGGCCTATTCAGGAATTCCTCGAAGTATTCTACCCATCTGTTCCGCTGTTGTTGAATTTCGGTGATTGGCTTGCCTTCTTTGTCTTGGACCGGTCTCTCTGGTTTACTGTATTTCCCTGATAGTTTCTTCGTTGTATCGTGAAGCTGTTTCATATTTCCTTCCCTGGCAGCTTTTTCCGCCGTCGTTGCTAGTTCTTCCACATATTTCTTCTTGTCGGCTCTAATGCTCCTCTTCACTTGTTTGTTTGCTTCTATGTATTCAGCTTGTGCTTGGACTTTCTCT